CCACCCCTCTCATTCTAGAGGTGAGTGGGCGCCGTCGAGCTCAGCGAGACCATGGCAGGCTCTGCTGAGCTGCAGAGCCTGCCAACCGCACCCCTGAGGGGTCGCCAGGCTACAGTCGCCTAGCTCAGTGACTGTCTATATATTATCACCCTAAACCCGACGTCTTTGCTCTCGGAAGGCCCGCCCAACCCTGGCCTGGGGGCCCCCCCTGGAGGCCTCCCTGGACCCTCTGGAGCCTGTCCCGACTCCGACCTTGTTCACTGGACCAGGGGCCCTTTTACGGGCTCAGCCTGGCCCGCTGCTCAAAAATCGCGTTTGACGGACTGAGAGGGTGTGGGAGGGCCTCCCCCCACCCCCCCCCCCCCCCCCCACCCCCCCCCCCCCCCCACCCCCCCCCACCCCCCCCACCCCCCCCACCCACCCCCACGCCACCCACCCCCCCCCCACCAAGGCCAGGCCAGGCCCTGGAAGGCCCCTAAAACGTAGGTAGGTTTTTCCACGCTTCGAGTGAAAAAGAATGAGAAGGCCCTCCGGCCGAAGACACCCCCCAACGCAAACGCCGATTTGGCTCTCGCAAGCTTCTAGACCTGTTTAGCAAAGGGTCTATCGCCATACAACCTTTACGCTCCCGCATAGAGAAGAAAAAACAATGAGAAGCCCTCCGGCCGAAGACACCCCCCAACGCAAACGCTGATTTGGCTCTGGTAAGCTTCTAAACATGACTCTCACAAGGCCTGTTCATATCAACGCCGTGACACCCCGACATCGAGAATAGAAACAATGAGAAGGCCCTCCGGCCGAAGACACCCCCCAACGCAAACGCTGATTTGGCTCTGGTGAGCTTCTAGACATGACTTTCACAAAGCCTGTTTCCTGTAACACCATGACATCCCGACGTCGAGAATAGAAACGATGAGAAGGCCCTCCGGCCGAAGACACCCCCCAACGCAAACGTTAATTTGGTTCTCGCAAGCTTCTAGACATGACTTTCACAAGGCGTGTTTATAGCAACAAGCCTGAGTGCAGAAGTGTTTGGATGTGGGCTGGCTTTGGTTTGGCTGGCTCTGGTTTGGTTCGTTTTGAGTAGTGTTTGGGTGGTCTTGGGGTGGGCATGTCTGCACACAAGTGCGTACAGCTGAACAATGCTACACCCTAAACCCTAAACCCTAAACCCTAAACCCTAGACCCTAGACCCTAGACCCTAGACCCTAAACCCAAACCCTAAACCCTAAACCCCTAAACCCCTAAAAAAACCCTAAACCCTAAACCTAAACCCTAAACCCCTAAACCCCTAAACCCCTAAACCCTAAACCCTAAAAACCCTAAAACCCTAAACCCTAAACCCTAAACCCCTAACCCTAAACCCTAAAAAACCCTAACCCTAAAAAAAACCCTAAACCTAACCTAAACCTAAACCCTAAAACCCTAAACCCTAACCCTACCCTAAAACCTTCTTTTCATATGATAATTAAATGTTAAGGAGTTACTGGTCAAGGTCATTTTTTTACTGGGCAAGGTCATTTTTTTACTGGGCAAAGGTCATTTTTTTACTGGGCAAGGTCGTTTCGTCAAAAAGCGACCTTGCCCAGTAAAAAAATGACCTTGCCCCAGTAAACAAAAGACCTTGCCCATAAAAAATGTTACTGGTCAAGGTCATCTTTTTACTGGGCAAGGTCATCTTTTTACTGGGCAAGGTCATTTTTTTACTGGGCAAGGTCATTTTTTTACTGGGCAAGGTCATTTTTTTACTGGGCAAGGTCATTTTTTTACTGGCAAGGTCATTTTTTTACTGGGCAAGGTCATTTTTTTACTGGGCAAGGTCATTTTTTTACTGGGCAAGGTCATTTTTTTACTGGGCAAGGTCATTTTTTTATTGGGCAAGGTCATTACTGGGCAAGGTCATTTTTTTACTGGGCAAGGTCATTTTTTTACTGGGCAAGGTCATTTTCTTACTGGGCAAGGTCATTACTGGGCAAGGTCATTTTTTTACTGGGCAAGGTCATTTTTTACTGGGCAAGGTCATTGTTTTACTGGGCAAGGTCATTTTTTACTGGGCAAGGTCATTTTTTTACTGGGCAAGGTCATTTTTTTACTGGGCAAGGTCATTTTTTTACTGGGCAAGGTCATTTTTTTACTGGGCAAGGTCATTTTTTACTGGGCAAGGTCATTTTTTGTTACTGGGCAAGGTCATTTTTTTACTGGGCAAGGTCTTTACTGGGCAAGGTCATTTTTTACTGGGCAAGGTCATTTTTTTACTGGGCAAGGTCATTACTGGGCAAGGTCATTTTTTACTGGGCAAGGTCATTTTTTTACTGGCAAGGTCATTTTTTTACTGGGCTAGGTCATTTTTTTACTGGGCTAGGTCATTTTTTAATGGGCAAGGTCGTTTCGTCCAAAGGTGTTTAGGATTTCCGGGCCTAATGGTTAGGGTTTCAAGGCCTCACGGCCTGGTGTTTAGGGTTTCAGGGCCTCAAGGCCTGCTGTTTAGGGTTTCACGGCCTCACGGCCTAGTATTTAGGTTTCAGGGTTTCAGGGCCTCAAGGCCTAGTGTTTAGGGTTTCAGGGCCTCAAGGCCTGGTGTTTAGGGTTTCAAGGCCTCAAGGCCGGGTGTGGCTTGTGTTAAGTGCTTGGTACTACGGCGTGATTGGTGCATCCGAAGAGAAAATAAGTAACCTTCTATTTTCTTAATGTTATGGGATTCTTTGGGCGGGTGGGTTTTTTCCGTTGCCTAGATACACGGCTGGCCTAGTAAATGCTCGAACTTGAGATGCTGAACCCTAAACCCTAAACCCTGAACCCTAAACCCCAAATCCGCACATCTCGACCTTCGGAAGGAGAGTCCGCAGCTCTGGTAACCCCCACACCTCAGGATCCCTCCCTGAAGGAGCCCAGACGCTGTAGGGGACCCTAAACCCTAAACCCTAAACCCTAAACCCTAAACCCTAAACCCTAAACCCTAAACCCTAAACCCTAAACCCTAAACCCTAAACCCTAAATTCCCACCCAGGCCTGCTTAGGCCGTACCCACCCTTCTCTAGGGTGCCTGGACCCAGAAATCACCCGACAGCGATTAACACCATTGCTTGGACTTCCTGTGCAAGCCTAAAGAGTTGTGTTGAGCGTGAGCTGCACCTCCAGTGCCGGTGCAGTACCCCGCATGGGCTGGCGACCTGTCCCAAAAATGGCTTCTGCACGTCGTCCGGGCCCCCCCTACCGCCCCCCTCCGGAGCCCCCTGGTGCCGGGCCCCTGGCGGAGCGTGTTCAGGGAGCAGAGGGGCCGCAAGGCAGGCGATTGCTCAAAAATCCACTACAACCCGTTTTAGACCCCCCTTCCGCCCCTGGCCCCCCCCTGGCCCCCCCCTGGCGGAGTGTGTTGAGGAACCAGAGGGGCCGCATGGCAGGTCAGCCTGGGCGCAAAAACCCACTACCAAACCCAGAAACCTAGTTTTTTGAACCTCCTCCCCTCCCCCCCCTTGCCACCCCCCCCCCCTCCACCCCCCTCCACTCTCCCCCCCTCTCCCCCCCCCTCCCCCCCCCCCTCCCCCCCCCTCCCCCTCCCCCTCCCCCCCCTCCCCCCCCCCCCCCTCCCTCCCTCCCCCCCCTCCCTCCCTTTCCCCCCCTCCCCCTCCCCCCTCACCCCCCCCGCGTCCGGAGATAGCCTCTGCCTGTTTCTGGGTCTGGTTTTGAGGCTATTTTCTGGGAAGCCTGACCCGTGCAAAGTGCAAAGGACGAGGGTGGAAGTGTCCTACCCAACCGTTCAAAGGATGGGGGTGGGAAGTGGGAATTTAGGGCGTTAGCCCGAAACCCTAAAAGGAGAAAAGTTGGGTGGATGCCTGCGTAAGCAGGGGGTGGGAAAAATAAAACAACCCAACCTTTCTGGTTGTGGTGGCTCCAACTTCAATATACGCCGCCGCGACATATGCCGCCCCCTCACACCCCCTGGGTGTGTTGGCGCGCCATCTCCGCATGACATCTACTGCCGCGGCGCGGCGAGAAGCCCTAAACCCTAAACCCTAAACCCTAAACCCTAAACCAGGAACCCTAAACCCTAAACCCTAAACCCTAAACCCTAAACCCTAAACCCTAAACCCTAAACCCTAAACCCCTAAACCCCTAAACCCTAAACCCTAAACCCTAAACCCTAAACCCTAAACCCTAAACCCTAAACCCTAAACCCTAAACCCTAAACCCTAAACCCATTGGGCGTTTGAAAGTTGACGAGCCCCTCCTCGCAACTTGAACCTCATGGATCCTCATTTGGAGGCCCATGGCTGGCTAGTTCGGGTTATCAGACGGATCGCTATGGTCAGAACCATTTTCGGGGTACTGATAACCCTACGTAGTCCCCGCACCTAAACCCCAAACCCCTAGTCAGCATTTGTGGCAGAAAATGCAGCGAAGCTGAAGCGGGAGAAACGGGAGGAAAACCTCCTGCCAAACCGGTTCCAAGCGCTCGCACTATACAAACGAATCAAAACCCAAAACACTCAGTTTCAAGAGCAAACCCGGATGTAGAAAATCCAACTCATGGGTAGAGCGAGCGCCCAAACCGACTCAGTCCAATCTTGCACGGCCGCTTGGAAGGAAGGTGAATTTGCAGCCCCTGTAGCTTGTAAAATGAGCAAAAGGAGGCAACACAAAACTGCACCGCACCTTCTGTTAGGGTTAGGATATTGGAAGGAAGTTAGGCCCCAACCCTAAACTACTTTCACAACCACGGGAACGAAGGGGGGCCTTACGAGGACAGGGTTTAAGGAGCATTTCTACCTTCAAAGGAACAAGCGTAATAATGAACCCCAAGCTGCAGGGTTCGTTTAGTCCTCAAGGAAGGCGCAAGGAAGGGGTTCTATAAGCCTCTGTTTTGGGGAGGCAGATCGAAGGAATATGTACAGACACTGAATGGTGCGGGCAGATCAAAACTCATGTACCTTGTGGGTTCATGGAGACTCCAATATAGGGCCCAATGCTTGATCCCCCAAAATACAGTAACCACTAGTCCTCTACAACTTGGTCACCTTGAAGGTCGGACAGGGCCGTTCGATGGTGGTGGTATGCGCGATGCGACGGGAATTCAAGTTGGCATTGGCTGCCTCGTCATACGTCATAACATAGTCCTGCAAGATACGACATAGGATGGAGGTGTACTCCAGCTTCGCGATGCGCGATCCGACGCACATGCGCGACCCAAAGCCAAAGGGTTTGCAGGCGACCGGATGGTCTAAAAACTCGGCCCGGGTACCCTTGCGAGCGGCGACAGCCTCGTCGGAAAAACGATCGGGATCGAAGAGGTGTGGATTAGGACCAGCCAAGGTCTGGTCGGTGGCAATGCCCATGTGGCTGAAAATGACCGTGGTGCCGGCAGGCACGTGATAGCCATTGATGACCAAGTCTTTGGGAATGTCGTTCTTGACATTGACAAAGGGAAGAGTGGGAGTCACTCGCTGCGACTCTTTCAAGACTTGTTGCAAGTAGTTCAGTTTCACAGGTTGCCCATCCTTGCCATGGTTCGGATGGTAATCCTGGCCACCCAATTCCTTGGGGCTTGTTTTCGGGTTTAGGATTTAGGACATCAAACAACCCTAAACCCCTTCAAGTCCCATAATAAGGATATAGAGTGGAAACCTCGAGAGCTCAGAACCTACTCTCTTTTTTGCTCCTACTCTGAGGGTTCATCGACAATCTACCGAAAAAAAACAGAGGATTTCGAGAGGGGGGAGGGGGGTGGGGTTTGGGGGTACCCCTCCTATTAACGGAAACACCCAGTCAATTGAAACCCCGGAACTTCAACTTGGGAAAAGGGTTTAGGGTTTAGGGTTGTGGTTCGTACACAGTATTGGAATAGTGATATTTGGGTACACAATGCCCCCGTTGCCTCAACACTCTACCCCGCCTCAACCCTGAACCCTAAACCCCCTCAACAAGAACCCAGATTCAGCCTCGAGCTCGGCTCGGATTTTATCTTGAACTGAGGGATGCTTCGCAATGTTGGACAGGGCATTGTTGATAAACCCCGCAGTCCTTGCGGATTCTAATGGAGTTTAGGGGCCAGAGTTTTAGGGTTTAGGGTGATATATAAAGAGACCGAGACGCTGCGGAAGTGCATGTTTTAACATGTTCATCTCATTTTTTGAAAACACTCTCACAGCGTACCCGTGCTTTGCATAAATGACGGAATGAGTTTGCGAATAAGTGAACAGTTGTGTCCAACATGCAAGTACGCCAAAACGTCCCGAGTTATTGTCGCCGTGCAAGCTTGTCAAGCATTGTGTATCTAGTCCCACTCATGCAAACCATTCGTCCCAGCTGCAAGCAGAGCCAACTATAGAGATCCACGTTTGGCGAACACACGTGCTCAAAAACGACGACACAGTTACGAGGATGGCGACGTCGATGCGCACGGCACCTAGGCAGATCGATTTCGAACATCGTGAATTGCAAGTTCCCTTAAGTCAGGCCGCATGCAGCGAAGCCACCCGACGCTCCAAAACGCAGAAAAGTGCGCGCCTGACATAAGCGTCAAAGAACGAACGGGACCTGGGCGGCGAGCACGATATCCACCCATAAACATCCAAAAATGCGCACAGGAACTCGGCGGGAGGGCGATTCGAGGACATCGGCGTGCCCAAAAACCATGTAATTTGCGATGTTTCGCGCCCCCACGAAATCCGAGCTGTTCTTGCCGCCTATTGAAAAATCGCATTTTAAGCGAACATGCGACCACCGTCCGAGCCAGAGTGTCCGCGTATCGCCTGCGAGTCGCCCACGTCGCCGGCTCGTCGCCCACGCATGGCCTGCGCATCGTCCGTGGCACGTGATCTATTTCCTTTACCTGAACGTAAGAGCCCCCAGTGTTTGCACACTGTTTGGGGAAAAACGAAAAGAAATTTTGACTCCCGAATTGTGAGATTCATTTAATTAGTCCCCAAGATTCGTGTCGGCGGACGCAAAGGTCAGGATGAGGTACATCTCCGTGGCCTCTTCGCGCGAAATCTTCAAAGATTCGTCGTTCAGGAAGCCGTGCATAATGCCCGTCCTTGGGTCTAAAGGGTTTGGAGTTTCTACACTCGCCAAACCAGCAACAAAGGACCCTGCTGTATATCCCATGGAGATATTGGACATGAGCCGTCTGCTAGTACCCTCCCCCCATTAAGGAGTACACTCTGGACCCTGAGCCCTTGTCGTGGGCTCAATTCCTTGCCAAGCTTTAAACCCTAAACCTTGAAACCTAAACCCAAAACCCCAAACCCTAAACCCTAAACCCTTTGGGCTGGCTCACTTCATCCCCAAGGGTCCCAGTGCCGAGTTTTCCCTCCATGACCGACTCGACCAATTCGGTACCCGCCTTGCGACCGCGATCCCATTCCGAGACAAAGCCATCCCAGGCGCCGAACTTGAACCTAGGGCTTCGGGTTTGGGCTCGCTCGGGTGTGAAACACCCCGGGCCACGCGCCCGCGTTGCTCGTCAATCCACCCCCCGGCCACACACACACTGTACTCTATCAGGGTTAGTTTAGGGTTTATTGAATTGATTTTCGTTTCCACCCATGCATATTTCTATTGTTGAAGTTGCGGTGCGAGGGCCTAGCTGGGGTTCGGGGTAGACTCTGGGGTTTAAGTCCCCCATCTTGTGAAGGGGGGCCCTGCTTACGTAGAAGGCCCTTGCAAGGCCCCGCGGCTGCTTGAGGGGGCAGTGTCGGTTTCTAGAAACCTCCCCCCTGGCCTCTCCTGGCACTCCCATCCCTACTATCCTCCTCCCCGATTAAATCTAGCCGGCAGGGCCTTGGCCCTGGCTTGCGGGCCCAGGCAACCCCTCGACCCTAAACTTGTGTCCCGGCTTAGAGCTACTTCTATGATTTTGGTTACATGATTTATTTTCCGAAATAAAAGCAATTTGACTTTTGGAAAAATGCAAAAAAAATGGCTTCCAAAAAGCAAAAAAAATGGGCTCAGGAACTGTGGCTTGCTAAAAAAAGAGAAAAAAATGCGAAAAAAATGGGCTCAGAAAAGAGGCTAAAATTGGGTTTCAAAAAGGGGTCCAAACACATGTGCTGGAATCCCTTCTGTCATTATGGAGTACTCGGAGTAGGTTTCAAGAGTTTCAAGAACAGAATAGGGCCATTGAATAGGGCTTTGCAGGCTTGAAACGGCTATCAAGCACTGATTGACAATTTATTGGGGTATAACAGTAGGGTGGATGTTCATAGCAATGGAAATAGGCCGACAAATTGTGTCAGAGAAGCAACGCTGCTGCTGCGAAACAACTAGGTAACTAGGTGACTCGGGAAGAAAGCCAAAGTCAAGGCGCATAAGGCCAGCCGGAAAGGAACGACTGGCAGTGGCAGGATTGGCAGACTGGCAGTCGGACAAAAGGCCGGCTGTACAAAAACAAATAGAAAACAGACTTGTGCGTCCTACATTGTATTCTGCAGGACGCATTTCACTAACAAGTGCTGTCGCGGGCCATCCGTTGCTAGGCCAATGGGGCTAGAGGGCTGCATCAACTACATTGAGTCGGTCCACGGGATCCTTGGTCGAGGGGTCTTGTGACGTCCTTCTTGCCTTGCTTTGAGCAGTGCTGCTGCTCGCGGCTAGCGGCTACGGACTCTTGCTTGCCGTGACGTGATTTTCCGCTTGGGTTTTTGCTTTTGGTCTGAAGTTGCATGGAGACGTTGTTTTGCATGGACAGATTTTTTGACAGATTTTTGACTTGCAGTTTCTACACTCCGCTGCTGCTCTCATGTGCTCCAAGAACACTAGGGACCAATTGCAATGTACTAGATTGAAGACAGTGTTTCCAGAAGTCACAGCAGCTAGGATGGGAAACTGCTTGGTCCCACGCAGTGGGCTTGTCAACTTGCCCATGTGTTTTTTCCGATGTCTAGGGCCTAGGGTCGGGATGTGAGGCTCGCGGAACTTAGGATTTTGGGCTTAGGCCGTCGGCTAAGCGAAGTGGAATCTGTTGGCATCTGTGGCTTGCAGAGTTTCACATCAGCTATGAAGGGCTGGAGAAAGCTGGCGTCGGCATCTCTTGAGGCTGCGGCCCAAGAGATCGAGGACATCAGCGAAGCAGAGCTGTTGCGTGAATCCTCCGATTCAGACAGTGAGCCCAGCCCCATCCCTTGCAGCTCCCAAACTTCCGATGAGCCTTGGCAGGTTTTGGGGGTCGTGCGCTCATGATTCTGACGCAAGGGCATCAGCAGGGAAACAGTTCTAGGTCAGGTGATCGAGCGCTGTGCAGCTAGTGCTGCCTAATGAAATGTCTAGAGTCTAGACACTAGTGTCCGCAGGGTCCACATCTGCCTATCGTGCTCTTTTGGTGCCAGCATGTTGGTCTGAGCTTTGTAAGTTTGCATTCTTGGCAAACAATGTTGCAAGGAGTGGTTCGTGTTCAACATCAAGATGCACCTTCGGGACGTGGCGCCTCGTGGCTGCACGCGTGCAAATCCCATCTCTGTGGTTTCAGCTTGCACTGGCACAGCCTCCGAAGCAGTGGCCCTCCAGGTGTGATTTGAAAATGCCAGCAGTTCTGGAGTTTCGGGGGGCCTGGGACACGGGTAAAGGGTCTATGTCAGTATATGTGTCTTTTTCTGACGCAGACATGCTGGCAGCCTGTTCGGCAGGCGCTGGGAATTCCGTTCCAGTACATGGAAGCATCTGATGTGTGGGACGTCTCCCGCAAAGTTATCCTGGCCAACCACCCGCCTAAGCACTTGCATGAGTGCATTCGTAGTCAAATTGAAGGGCACCGTTGCCTCCTTCATGCAGGCGATGAAGGTTCGGAGGCATGCGCTGTGAGAGAAGCAGACTTGGCCGTGGTAGGGCCTCCCTGCCCACCATTCTCTAGGATGAGGTTCAAGCGATACAGAGACGGATCTGTAGCTCAGCATCCTCAAACGGATGTCACAATGGTAGACACAAGGGACTTGCTGGTTCTTGGTCAGCATAAAGCTGTCATCGTGGAGCAAGTGCTGGGCTTTGACGACGCCGAAGCAACAGGAGGTTCGTCTGACTACAGCTTCATGCGCAGGCCGGAGATTTCAAGTTCAACTTACTGAAGTTCGTGCGATTGGTCCTGAGTTGTTGAGGTTTCGGGCTCAGGGAAGATGCGAGGGCAAGAGTGTCCAGAAAATGAGGGGCCATGGCTCGCTGCTATAACCGACTATAACCAACACTCAACCCCGCGATGAGTGACGAGTGTCTTTAATTGGTTTCGGCCGAGATGTTTTTTCTTAGCTGCGTGGTTCGAGCGCCACCCATTTCCCGATCAATCATCAACGCAGACTTTCTTGGGCGATCGTATAATTCATTATATAGGCATGCTGGCAACCACTTGAACCCCAAAATCCGCAGCGTAGAGAACCGTAGCTCCTATCTGGGATTTCGGCCGGCTGAAATCCTTGGGTGCAAGGTCAAGGGAAGTGTCGATGGTTACCCCGGTGCCGCTGTCCCTACTAAATCTACAGCCTTTAAAGGAGCCTTCAGGCCCCCGAAGCACGAGGGATTAGAGGCCCTTCACTCCCCTCCGAAGCATGAGGGATTGGAGGCCCTTCACTGCCCCATCAGGCCCTCCCACCCCCCAAGCACGAGGATTAGAGGCCCTTCACTCCCATCCTGGCACCCCCCCCCCCCGAAGCATGACGGATTAGAGGCCCTTCACTGCCCCTTCAGGCCTTCCCACCCCCAAAGCACGAAGGGATTAGAGGCCCCTCACTCCCATCCTGGGACGCCCCCAAGCATGAGGGATTAGAGGCCCTTCACTGCCCCTTCAGGCCCTCCCAACCCCGAAGCACAAGGGATTAGAGGCCCGTCACTCCCATCCTGGGCTCCGAAGCATGAGGGATTAGAGGCCCTTCACTGCCCCTTCAGGCCCTCCCACCCCCGAAGCACAAGGGATTAGAGGCCCGTCACTCCCATCCTGGCCCCGAAGCATGAGGGATTAGAGGCCCTTCACTGCCCCTTCAGGCCCTCCCACCCCCGAAGCAGAAGGGATTAGAGGCCCGTCACTCCCATCCCGGCCCCGAAGCATGAGGGATTAGAGGCCCTTCGCTGCCCCTTCAGGCCCTCCCACCCCCGAAGCACAAGGGATTAGAGGCCCGTCACTCCCATCCTGGCCCCGAAGCATGAGGGATTAGAGGCCCTTCACTGCCCCTTCAGGCCCTCCCACCCCCGAAGCACAAGGGATTAGAGGCCCGTCACTCCCATCCTGGCCCCGAAGCATGAGGGATTAGAGGCCCTTCACTGCCCCTTCAGGCCCTCCCACCCCCGAAGCACAAGGGATTAGAGGCCCTTCACTCCCATCCTGGGACCCCGCCCCCGAAGCACGAGGGATTAGAGGCCCTTCACTGCCCTTTCAGGTCCTCCGAAAAATTAGAGACCCTTCACTGCCCCCTCACGCCCTTGCTGGGACCCCCAAACACAAGGGATTGGAGGCCCTCCACTCATTTCGAGACTGGCGCAAGGCCCCCGCCAAAGCACGAGAGATTAGAGGCCCTTCACTCCCACCCTGGGACCCAAGGGATTAGAGGCCCTTCACTCCCACCCTGACACGACAGATTAGAGGCGCCCTCAACAACACACAAGGACGAGGGATCCCTTCACTCCCACGAGCCCGCTTCAGGGCGAGGGATTAACGGCCACTCTGGGCCCCGAAGCAGGAAGGATTAGAGGCCCTCACTCCCATGCTGGGACCCCGAAGCACGAGGGATTGGAGGCCCTTCACCGCGCCCTCAGCCCCTCCCACCCTGGGACCCCCAGCACGAGGGATTAGAGGCCCTTCACTCCTCGCCGAACACCCCACAAAGCACGAGGGATTTGCCCCAAGCACGAGGGATTAGAGGCCCTTCACTCCCACCCTGAAAACCCCCCCCGAAGCACGAGGGATTAGAGGCCCTTCACTGGGACCAAAAAAAGATGATTCGTGCGAACGCTTTGTGGGGCAGGGAAGGCTCCCACCAAGCATGAGGGATTAGAGGCACTTCACTCCCACCCTGGGACCCCTCCGAAGCATGACAGATTAGAGGTCCTTCACTGCCCCTCAGCCATCCGAGGGATTAGAGGCACTCCCAGCCTGGGGCCCCGAAGCACGAGGGATTAGAGGCCCTTCACTCCCCGGAAGCAGGGGGATTAGAGGCCCTTCACTGCCCCCACCCTGGGACCCCCCCAGCACCAAGCATTAGAGGCCCTTCACTAGTAGCTGGAACCAGGAAGGGATGAGAGGCCCTTCACTCCCCCGAAAACCCCCACTGCCCCCTCTGGCCCTCCCACCCTGGGACGCCACCCAGCACGAGGGATTAGAGGCCCTTCACGCCCACCCTGAGACCCCACGAAGCATTAGGGATTAGCCTGAGAAGGGCCTCTAATCGGTTACACCCCTGCAGAAGCTTTGCCAATCCACCAG